TCTGGGGTCCCTGGAAGTGGGCAGTGGGGTGGCAGGCCAGTGCCTCACAAGGCCAGTCCCAAATCAAGTCCCAGGCTTAAGCATGACTGAGGGAGGGTAAGGCCCTGGGGCAGTGGGATATCCAGCTGGTGTCTAGGGTGATGGACACAGCCTGTGGTGTGTGTGGTCCCAACTCTCTGCCAGGCACTGGTGGCAATGGGAGAATCAGATAAGCACCTGAGCACTGAGCCACTTGTTCCTGTCGGGCAGGTATGGCTGAAGGGCCAGACAGGATATTTGGCATATGGAGGGGAAGCTACAAGGCATGCAACAAGAAAGGCCTTAGTGCCAGCCTGGGGGCGATGTGTGAAATTTCCATGCAGCAGGAAAAGCTGAGCATAGCCTGCATGGTCCATGCTAGTGAGCAGGGATTGACATGACACATGTTTCAGGGCTGCCCCTGCTCAGTAGCCTTATACAAAACATGACGCTGAGCCTGGCATGTGCATGTGTATGTATGTGTGTGTGTGTGTTTTGCTGTGTGCAACCCAAGTTTTCCTGACTCTTGGGAAGCCATGCTCAGCTATACTGAGCTGCTTTGTCACGCTTAAAAACTCTCTTCCACCCTCCTGTTCTTTAGGCAAAAATATCCTTCTGCCTCCTTCAGGAGGTATATCAAGAGGAGAGATGAAAATATAATTAACAAATCTTTCACTCCACAAGTGCCAATTATGTGGGGTTTTTTCTCAGATGGTCTGACTGATAAATATAGCTAGCTAAATTCAGAGTTACCAATTTCAACCTGTGTTTAGCACTGAAGTGGGCTGGTTCTATTTTCAGGATGAAGAAGAATTTGTGTGCCTGAAATCCCATCCAAGTTCTTCTAACTATATCAGTCAGTCTAATAAAAGAGATTACCTCTTCCTACGGACCTTGCCTCACTTGCATTCTTCAGGCACGGTGACTACAATAATGGTGCTTCCTCATCTTTTCTGTTGCTTCTCTGCCACCTGCAGTGCGCAGCTTGAATGTACAAGACAGAAGAGCTGGGGAAGCACATGAAGGTATTTCCTGACTTTACAGTGTTTCATTTGCAAGCTCAAAGACCTCAGAAAAGTTAGGCTGGAAGGGAGCTCAGCTCTGGAGATCACCATGTCCAGCCCTATTCCGTGCTGGGCTAAGAAATTTTGATTGGATGCTCAGGACCATATCCAGCAAAGTTGCCAGTACTTCCAAGAATGGAAATTTCACAAACTTTTTGGGCATATGACTTCAGTGCTGAACCGTTCTTGCTTTGAAGATTTTTTCCTTACATCCAACCTATTTTTCCCTTGTTGCAATATCTGGCTATGGCCCCTTGACCTTTCACCATGCACTTCTGAGAGAGAGACTTTCTTTACTGCTCAATGCAGGAGGAGACTGCAGTTCATTTCCTGCCTCTCATTAGTGGTCTAATCTCTGAGCTATACAAAAAAGTTCTTCCCAGGGTTGCCTGTGCTTCAGCCTCTCAGCAGTCTCAGTGTTTCTTTGCTGGACCCTCTATTTTGTCATAATCTTGCTTGCTCTGCAGGGCCCAAAACTGGACATCATGTTCCAGGCATGGCCCAGCTAGTGCAAAGCAGGGGGAATAAGAGCTTTCCTTAGTCTGCTGGCCATGCACTTGCCTGTGTACCCTAGTATGTGATTAGCTGCCTCCACTGCAAGGCACACTGCTGTCTCTTGTGCAATTTGCCCAAAGGGATCTCCTGAGTACTGCAAAGCTGTTACCAGCTCAGTTCATCCCTAGCATTTGGTTTCCGGACCTCTTGTGCTTGTATTTGTTCTATGCAACATGCTCTGTCTATGCAGACATGTTCAAAGACCTTGTTCCTCCTCAGAGAAGTTTTCTTTTATTATAGACTATAGAGGCATGGTGGGATGGGTTTGTAGAAATAGACTACTCTTACTTGCACTGGAGATAGTCTTGGAAGGAGAAGAGCCTGTGCTGCCCAGCATGTTGCCCAGTGCCTTTGAAAACTTTCACTTTTTGAATGGCCTCTGACTTATCATTAGAAATTATAGTGACAGGGTGCAGATGTATGCCCCAGCAAGAAACAGAGGCCCTGAGGTGGTCATCTTTCCTATCTGCTCATTGACAGAGTCGCTAAGGAGCCAATATAGAGAATTCCTGCTCTTGAACTGATTAAGGAAACTATTTTAATCAATTTGCTTTCTTTTGCTTCATGCCTTACCTTGTACTTTATCTCATCCCCTATCCACTTAGAACTTAAATCTTTAGCTTAAATAAGGCCTGAATTAAAGGCTACTTTTGTGTAGAAGTTTTCAGACTACCGTGTTTCACCCAGAGAGAAAATGAAAGGACAGCATCTGAGTATGAACTTACCCCAACCCAACTCTAGACTTTCCTTCAGAGCCATCCCAGACTGTATTCTAAATGGAAAACCACAATTAGTCCCCTTTTCTTCTGTATGCCTACTCATCCTACTTCTAGAATAACTAAGATACCGCAATATGCATGTTTCTGTGCAAAAAAATCACGGCTTTATTATCATTGTCATTTCCATCTCTCCAGTCAATCGTAATAACAATTAAATAGTTCTGGAATTAAAAGTGACATTTTAAAAGGAGACAGGTAAAAGTGGAGTGTCAAGGAAGAAAAATTAAATGGTTTCTTTCCCCCTTCCGCTTTGTATCATATTGTTGATGATAGAATAATATAGTTCTGCCATATTAGATAATAGTTTATAAAATGTACTGTGCTATCTAAAACCTACCCATATGTGAACACTGTCTCCTACTTCTCCCCAGTGGTCCTTCTTCCAACAAGTCAATCTCACCTAAATGTTTTGTTCCTTGGTATGTACATCAAGGCTCTGATTGTAACCCATTAAAATACATGCTTCAACTTAATATCTTGGGTATTCTGTAGGCTATCATAATGTCTGGGATGGTGGGTCAGGATTTGACCTTCTTACTGTCTTTCAGTTTTCCAGTCCATTTTCCTGACTTGCAAGAGCAGTTAGAGTCTGCTCTTGGCCACCTCAGGCTGCTCATTTGGAAACTGGGAAAACTGTGAAAAGCCAGACATAGTCTTTAACACTGGAGATGTGTTTTTTTTAAAATTTGAACACCTAAAATTTTTCCAGCCATGCTACAAGCATGCTTTCTGCTGTATTTTCCTCTTTTAGTCTCTTCTTCAGGCTAAATTAAATTCTTACACCCACATACATTTTCTTCTCATTTATGGTTTTAACTCACTCTCTACTGGAATCCTCCAGTTATCCTAAATGTTTCCTGAAGATCAGTGCCTGAAACAGGGCATAACATTTGGCTGAAGCCACTTCTGTTTTGGGAGCACGGACAGGAGTATTCAATTTTACTATATGTGAAACACTGTTCTGTATATCCCAAAATGGCATTTGTCTTGTTCACCATTCTGGCACTGTTGATTTGTTCTGACCGTGTCATTCACCTTATTTCCTAGATATTTTCTAAATAAGTTTCTACTGAGCCAGCTGCTGCAGGCCACTGGGAAGCTGCTTGTTCCTGCAGATACTGAAGTTCATCCAGCTGTTCTCAGAATTTTCCAATTTATCAAGAGCATTTTCAGTTCCAATCCTGTCTCTAAGAATATCTGCATCCCCTCTCTATTTCATGTCATCTTCAAAATTAACAAGCATACTATGTATTCCATCATTCATAGTGTAAACAAAAATGCTGGGAAAACTAGATACCTATTTGAGATAATTCTCCATATGAAATTGCTTGGTACTTATTCCATTTGGACAGGGAATCGTTATGACTACTCTTCAAAGGTACTTTTACAGAGTTCTTTATTGTTTTTGTTTTGCACCCATGATAGCCTATATCCATCTAGATGGTTTCTCTTTGTTTTGCTTTCTCATAAGACTACTACACAAGAAATGCCAAAAGCCCAAGTAAAGTCAAAATATGCAACAGCTACTACTTCTCTCCTGCACTAATGCTCTTAAACCATCTGTTATTCACCCAGATTTTTTTTTTTTTTAAATTGAAGCTGAAATTGGTGAGATTTTCTACTCACCTTTCTCTCTTCCTTACTTCTTTTACACACAGACTCTGTTCTTATACTTTTCACATCATTGGTGGCTCACCAGTCTCCAACCATCCTTAAAAGTAATTGCTAACGTGTCTGAGACTGTTTCAGGCAGTTTTTCACATATTCTATATGACTGTTCATCAGGTTTAGCCAAATTAGCACACATTACTTTGAGTGCTGCCTAATCTACTCATTCAGGCTCTTAGTTTTTTTAATATTCATTTACCCTTCTCTTGCGGATGCTACCTATATCAGCCACCTACTAACAGTTTCAGTGATTAGTGAGGAAAAAGGAATTATTTGACATGCTTTAGAAAGGGACCAGCCTTAGACCCAGTGTAAATGAATGGGCAGAAGAGGTTGCACTCACAATCAGAAGAATTCATGGGGGGAAAAAGTCAGAGACTGTGTTATCAAGGAGTGTGGGCAGAGGCTGAGCTTTGCAGGAACCCACAGGTGCCTCCCGGTCTATCTGATTATTTGTATACTGCTGTGGTTAAGAAACATAGAATCCTTAAGGTTGGAAAAGATATTTAAGATCATCAGGTCAAACCATTAACCTAACACTGCTGTGTTCACCACTAAAACCATATCCCCAAGTGCCACATACACACACTTCTTGAATGCTTTCAGGGATGGTGATTTCACCACTTCTCCAGACAGCCTATTCCAATGCCTGACCACTCTTTGAGTGAATAAATTTTTCCTAATATCCAACCTAACCTCACCCTGGCACAGGGCCATTTTTTTTGTCCTTTCAGTTGTTACCTGGGAGAAGAGCCCAGCCCCCTCCTTATTGCAACCTCCTTTCAGGTAGTTGTAGGAAGCGAGAAGGTCTCCCCTGAACCTCCTTTTCTGGGCTGAGCAACCTCAGCTCCCTCAGCCTCTTCTCATAAGGCTTGTGCTCCAGACCCTTCACCACCTCCATTGCCCTTCTCTGGACATGATCCAGCACCTCAATATCTTTCATGTAGTAAGGGACCCAAAACTGAATACAGGACTTGAGGTGGAGCCTCACCAATACCAAGTGCAAGGGGATGATCGCTGCCCTGGTCCTGCTGGCCATGCTATTCTTACTACAGGCCAGGATGCTATTGGCCTTCTTGGCTGCCTGGACACTTGCTGGCTCATGTTCAGCTACTTATCAACCAAAGAAGGTAGAAGAAGGTAGCATATTTTTGCAGGCCATATTAGTGTAAAATACTCTAAAAGTTCTAAATAGTTCTAAAGGTGGAATAGTTTTGTTTTGTGCTGAAAGATTTTTTTAATCTAAACTATTCCCCTTATAAAGTATATTTTGTGATTCCTCTTTCTTTTAAAGTGAGTGCTACAACAATCCATTTCACCATAGACAGAAACTGTCAAGCAAGGAGCTTATCTCATTTCTTAGATAGCATGGAAACAGTCAACAGAACAAATGTTAAACTTTACACCTCTGGACACTTAAACCATAGCAAGCTTTATAAGCCTTCAGAGAAAATAAAACAGGGGTGATGGTACTCTGCCAGGCAACAAACTAGTTTCATAATGGAAAGAAATCGAATCCCAGCTGAAAATGAGAGAGCAAGGAAGATGAAAAGATAACTTTTGTTCCAGCTTCCAACAAAGGCTGAATCTTCTTGCACTCAAAACGGAAATCCACAGTCACCTGTGACTGGTGTTAGTGCCTCAGCAGATTTTTCTATTCCACTGGAATTGCTAAAGTTGAAAGCATTTAAGAAGAAAGTAGAGGATGGAACTGACAGACTCCATGAGAGTCATCAAAATGAATCAAGATGAGTTAGATGTGTCAGAGACTATGATACTGAAAAAACAAACCAGTTAAGAACAGCTGACAGTGTGTTGTGGAGCTTGTCAAGGAGGAATACCAGTTCATACCTTCATACTTGGCCGGGGTAGCTAAAATGAAACAATTTGACAAGTTCCTAGATTTCCAGAAGGAGTTCTTAGCAAACCATAAACAGAATGATTTAACAGGGAGCAAAGTATCAGAGCAGCATGAAAGTAAGATGGCTAAGGTAAGAAAAAAAGTCTGCAAGTGAAAGGAAGGGTAAATTTTGCATTATCTTTCTGGGTAGATTGGTTGTGTGTTCCAGGAAAATGGAATGAGTTTAGGCAAAATCACCTCTCTCTTCTTCTCAGAGGCAGTCCCCAGTGTTTGCTTAGGTGAGCACATGTAAGACACATCTTCTGTGTGTTCCAAAACACTGAGCCCAATCCTGTTATACCACTGTTTACCCTTCCCTCCACTGTCATGTGAAAATATTGAGTTAAATATACAGTAAAACAAGATCTTGCAAGCTAGTGATCCGTACAGGAAAAATCCCTGTTGGTTGGCATCTCTCTGGGAACTGTATATTCAGCATGTGAGATAATTTGTATATGAAGTTGCCTTCTCTATGTGTGCTATAGACTATCTCTTTACACACAGACAGTTGCTGCTGACTCACCCCTTGTGATGAGTGGGATGGGGCATGAATTTGATCGCTGAAGCAAATACACTTCGTAGAAGCTATTTGTGTTTCTTGAGTTGCTGGCCCAGAGGAAGCTTAACAATATTAGCAACACTCATAGCCAAATGCAGAAGTGAGAGTAAGCTGCTGGATTCATAGAAAGTAGGGATGGAACTTAATGAAAGCATTTGAGGGTTGGTAAACTAAGAAATGATTAGGCTAGTGTGGGCTGGAAAAAACCTGGTATTTCATGGATATGAGAGAAATTTTTAGAAGAACACTTTGTCCCTCACTGTGGTACTTATGGTCACCAGATTTTCATCCTTTATAAGATGCCAACTCATTTATCAAGGGTATTTTACAGAGAATTTAGCAAAGGTGTTTGCTGGACTGTGGCTGCTAACAGAGAAAACAGAGGTCAGGCTTGACTGAAACAGCCATCCCAATAGCAGTCCTATGTATACCAGAAACTGGAAAAGAAATGATCAAGCAAATAAGCAGAGATTAGTCTTGTATATCTTCAACATACCTCAAGAAAAGTTATGCAAAATGAGGGAAGTGAGGCAACAAATTCATTCAATCTTCCTGTGGGTATAACTCTGGGAGAAGCAGCATATTCCATGTTGCCTTGAATTCCAGGAGGTATCATCTGCCACATAGTTAACCATCTTATAAAAAAGGTTGGTTTACTTCCCACCTTGGTAAATATTCTCAAGCAACCTTATCTCCTATGCCTCTGGGCTGAGAGGCCAGAGTTAAGAGGAAGAAAGGATAGGGGAGAACAGAGGCGAAGTGCAGTATTATATCAGAGTAACAACTTGATCTTGTAACTTTTGAAGTATGTTTTCCCAGGAGACATTTTCCCCAGAAACAATTTGGATCGATAAAATTTTTGTGAGATAGTTAAACACCGGCACAAAGCTTAGCAGAAAGCTGTACTAACTAGCAGTGATGGCAATTTTCGCCCTTTAATTAAATGGTCAAAATTTCTACCAGCTTTGATTTGAAACAAGGATATTCACAAAGTAAAAACTGCCATAGTATATTATCTACCAGAAAGGTTTGTACTGGAAAAGTTAATCTTAGGAGCAGAGCACTTTGAAGCGAGCCAGCAGCACTCTAGTGAAAAAGTTCCCATGGCAGAGGAACCTAGCACAAGTTGCCTAAGAGACCCCTTCTTTTTCTCTCCCAGCTTTATTACTCAGAGTTGGTAATATACAACCATGAGATTTTAAGTGTATTATTTTAACTGTTATATTCCTTAGCTATGGGTTCTTGGGTTATTTATACATTAATTATGTCTCTCTGAGCTAACAGTTACTTTAAGGAATGCAATGTGTTCCAAGAGCAGGTTCTTGTCAAACCTGGAGGTGATCTGTTGAAGTCAGTAGAGACAGACAGGCTTATTTATGATAAATGAAGGATTGGCTGTAAATATGTAAGCAAGATATTCAACAATTAATTGAAGCATAATTTAGTAATTGCCTTCTGCCACACAAATCTGTCTTGTTTTCATCTAGTCTTTTTTGATGATTAGTACATCCTGTCTTGTTGACTGTAGGCTTTCTTTTTACTGATTTTGTGCTATGACCATGACTTTGTCTGTATTTTCATATTTCTTGCTGCACACCATGAGGAGAAATGGCATGAACTTGAACAAAGTGATGCATTCTGACAGTAACTGTTTTGGAGCACATTCTGCCTGCACAGGATTGTTGTCATTAATTTTGGTGATTGTACAGGAATGCCAGATAATATGTGATTGTGATCCCTTCCATTTCAAGAGAGCACAGGTTGTTGAGGAAGCATTTGAAGATATATGGAGCAGGTCTCTGATACTTTGTGATATTCTGAAGGAAATTAAGAAAATAAATACTCCTAAGCTTTAGCCCACCATAATCTAAATGTACCTTAACTATTGTTTTAAAAGTTTTATCCCACAATGCCTTTCACTATTTTTTTATCAGCACATCTGGGACATTAAACCCTTTTTATCTACAATGAGGAAACTGATTCTCACAGGGATTTATATTCTTCAGGAGAGTATATTCTCTGTCCCTTGCTCACATGTTAAAATCATACATATCTAACAAAATTCATGGACTTATAGCGTGGTGTGTTTTTTTTTTTTTTTTTTTTTTTTAAATTTAATCACTTGTGTTCTCAAAAAGGGTGACTAATTTGGTCTTTATGTTTGCTCCTTCTCTCAGGAAGAGAGGATAAAACAGGAACAGAGAATAAAAGTGTTAAGAGACATCCTCCATAGAAAGTTGATTTCCAGTCTACTCAGTGATTTGAGCTGGCATAATTTCCTTCCATAAGCTTCATCATGGTAATGGAGAAAGGATAAATCATGAAGAAATTTCACACCTCTGCAAATCATCTGCACATACAAAGGCCATAAGTCTGGAAAAAATAGCACTGGGGAGAAAGGTAATTTGGAAATCACATTTAATGGTTCAGGGGCAGGCTGTGTTTTCAATCATTGCTTTCATTTATTTGTTTAAATGAGGGTCACACATGTCTGTGTTTTGTTTCCCTCATTTTTTTTTTTTAGCTGACCAGCAAGTTAAATTGCATGGCTACAAATGCCATATGATTTTGTCTTTAGGGCATTCCCAGTTCTGCTTCTGGCCCTATTGATGAAACAAGCCCTTGCATATAACCCAGTGTTCCTACCATGACTTTATGCATTTTAATTCACCATATAACAGCAAACCATCACTCTTTCTTCCTGTGGTATTCCTCAGGTCACAAGACTGCAACATCATGTGCATATACTTACATTTGCACTTGCTCAAATGTGAAGAGCAGACAGCTTTTAGGAAAAATGGACCAGATCTTTCACAGGTTTTATCTAATGTGCTGTGGAAGTTACACAAATTGGATCTGAACATCTAGCTATTACTCAAGTACTTTGATTAAAGCATTATTAAACAAACAAACAAACAAACCCCAAGCAAAAAACGCCCACAAACAAATCCAAACCCCCAAACCCTCAGCCTTCACTATCTCTAGCCCTTAATTCTAAAGTCCTTAAAATATTTGGGAAAATAAAATCAGATTGTAACCTACTGGTGAATTAGTTTTCTACCTCTCACTTTGATAGTTACATGTGAGGAGTGATAATTCTTACCTGACTTACCAAGCAGGTTTTGTTGTTTTTTTTTTTCTTTTGATTTTTCACTATGCTGAAGGATAGCACTTCAAATCCTTTATTTGGAGACCAAATCTATTTGTTTCTCCTTTGGGGCACTCAGGAGAGTGATTTGCATGTGGAACACAACTAAATTATTTAGCCAAAAGTTGCACTCTGATTCTGTACACTATGATGTGATGGTAGTGATAACAGAATTTTTACATTGATTCTCCCAGTGATAACCGAGGGGGCAAAAAAGTAATTCCTCCATATTTGTTAACAAAATAATTGTACATTTATAGGCAAGAAAATGGAAGAGTGGACAGGCAAGAAATACTTGAGGAAGAGGAGCTAGTTGGGTAAGTGAACTGTGCTGAGAATGACATTGCAATAGTCAACATCCAATTGATCACCTCTGGGTTTTGAACAAACCCACATGTGGTGGAATAAGCAAACGTTCTGTCACAACAAAAAAGGTATGATTTTTCTGGAGCCAAACTGAAACAGGAGGCTGATGGTCTTCTTTCAATTTATTAAAGTGAATGTGAGCTTTACATGATGATGCTTCTGGACTCTCTGCCTATGGCACATTGCAAGATAGTATTTGTCAATATCAGCTCATTTTCTTGGTGATGTTACAGAGAAATTAAGTACTTCAAGTCAGATATGGGCATGCCTTGACGTTATCTTTGACACAGGAGATCTAGTGCTCTCTCTTTTCTTCATTGCTGACCACAACTTCTGTAGGAGCAATGCACAGTAGAGAAATCTGAGACAGCAGATCCACGCAGAATAAGCAGAACCTTGGCTGAATAGACTGTGCTGTATTTCAGAAGTGCTAAACCTATTGTCCTTCTGTCTTCTCTTTGTTAGAGCCACATCAGGCTTTGTGTCAGCTCTACTGTAGAGATGCTGCTGAATAGATGCTGATATTTGCCTCAGTCTTCCAGGAATAGTGCCAAACACCCCTTTACCCTGCCTCTCTCACCAGTGACACCTTAATTTTGGTAAAAGGCACCAGGAAAGGTGTCTTCCGCTCTGGAAGTAGAAGGGGAGCACAGAGAAGATGTCAAGCCCTGAGGGCAGAGCCATATCTGACTAGCCGTTCCCAGACCCCTGGAGCATCTTCCCATTCTGCCCATGGCAGGAAACCATTCCAGTCCAGCCTGGACCTATCAGTCCCTGTCCATTCCTCTATCTCATCCTTTTGTATTCTTTCCTTTTTTTTTTTTTTTTTTTTTTTTACTTTCCCTACTCCAAAACTAGCCCCCTCTGCTTCTGATAGTTTTCAGGCCCATGTTCTCCATAGACAATCCTTTTGGATTTGCTCTGAGAATTTCACCCTAGTTATCCTCTCTCTTTGGCACTAAGCCTGGGAGCAACTGTGTGATATTGACAATGTGTTGAAATGAAAACGAAAGGTAATGATGAACACGGCACAGCTGACAGCATAAATACCTTGTCTAGATTGAGTAGCACAGTGCTCAGTGGCAAAACACCTGAAAGAACTGCCCAAAAGCAAGGAGTTTTCATGAGTCTGAGTTTTCATATTTACTGACTGACACGTACAGAGAATCGTCCATGCTTTTTTGTTTTATCTGTAACAGACCTTTAATCCATTTGTCAATGGAAAGAGCTTTAAGTGACTCTGAAATCTGCTATAGGGTTTTTTTTTTGTTTACATTAGCTCTTAGTCTTATCAACAGCTCATTCAGAAGTTTCTATCAGAACTGAATTTTACTGAAAAGTCATTTTAAAAATGATGTCAGAACCTGCATGGAAAAAACCTAACAAACAAACAAACAAACAAAAACACCACAGAACTTCATATTTTACTCTTTTTCATGCTCTTTTTCATGCACTCATGGAATCTGAAGATTCAGGTCAAAGGGATGGAAACAAAGCTTTCAAGGGCTCCAGAAATACAGGCACTCAGGAAAGATGTGCAGGTTGTCATGCAGAAAGCCAGTACTGCTCTGGAAAGAAGCAAAGAGTAAGTGTTACAAATACTATCAACCTCTGTAGCAACAAAAAAAAAATAGATGGGGTAGAGCAGAAAAAAGTAAATAGAGTTACTTGATTTTTTAAATGTCAGGTCTTGAAGGGAAGGCCAAAGGATTAGACCCTGTGGATGGCCTGGTTTAGGCAAAAACATTTATTTTGTACTAATTATACTGGGAGAAGGGGTTAAACTCTGAGCAGGACCAAGAATTTCTTTTGCCATTCCCAGCTGACCATCACAGAGAATTCTCCTGAGCACACAGGCTGCAACCTGCACTAATAAATTTCAGACTGTGTCACCTTTGTTGGGATGTTGATTTTGTTCCTTATTGTGGAGGTAACAAAGCCTAATAAGCCTCCTAAGGTTCCCTGTGTTCTTTGGACTGACCCAGTGTTTCCATGCCTCTGGTGTGTGCCCCTGATACTTTATATCACAGCTTCCAAATTTCCGTACTACTGCTCTAAGCTCTGATCTGACTTTCTAGCTTCATTGTTTGACCCTTAAATATTTGATTGTTTAACTCTAGAACTCTAACCTTTTTGCTTGAAAGCTGTCCTAACAAGAGATTTTGCCTACCAGCTTTTTTGCTCTTGCCCACTTCACGGTCTGAACCTGAAGAATTACCAAGTCACTCTTTCAGTAAGCTGCTGGTTCTCTTCTTCCCCTTCTCTTTTTTCTTGTAAATGTGAATCTAGATGACTCAAGAGGTCTTTTATGTCTTTTCAGTTGTTGTTTCCAGTGTATTTTGTGTGTACACTTTACAGTATTTACCCTGTGCTTTCAACATGTAGTTTGGATGATTCTAAAGTTAAGATATTGGAATGTGAAAGGGCTTCATGTTCACTAGTTTTTGTTAGTGTAAGTAGGAAGATGATTAACAGTGAACCAGTAATCTACATGTCTATATTTGTCTACAGAGAGAGAATTCATGATGTGTTTATGTGGGATAGTCAAACTGGCATGAATTTCAGATGGATTAGGATATAGTGGGGGATATTTATAGAGTTTGCACATGCAAATTTTATCAAGGCTATTCAGAGGTTGTTTTTTGTGCAAGCTTTTATAAATATTTTAGAGATAAAGGGGAAAAATATGACATTTTGTCTTCTGCCAAAGTTCTGAAAGGAAATAATGATAAACATCCCAGAATTATCTAAAGGAATTCTTTACATTTGTCAGCTATAGGTATAAAAATCCAGTGCCCCATAAGACTGTTTAGTTCTGAATAGCAGTCTGTTTCCAGCAAAGTCTAGGAACATGTGCTAATGTCAACTTGCTAGCTTTGCATGAAAACTAATAATGAAAATTTAAGTAATTAGTGGCTCCCTGCAGCATAAGACTGAGTCTTTCCTATTGCCATAGATCATGTGTGTAGTCTTTTCTATGTATAGCAAACCCATCCTTGGAAGGTAGGCAAAGGAAAAGATTTTCATACAAGACTTATGTATTTTTTAAAATAATATTGGTTAGTAGATGTTAGAATATCTTGAAGGATTTTTGAATACTGATGATGGTGGAGGAAGTAAGAATATAAAAAAATATGTAAAGAACTAAGCTGTCTACTTATGTTATTGTGATACCTATGTGGCTGTTAGATATGTAAGTAATAATGTGTAAATTCTTCAGTAGTTAACCCTAACCCTTTTCATCACTGGGCATTCAAACCTGGAGTCACTTCACTGTAATTCAGTGAGCTTCAGTTTTCTCTCTACCTTATTAGAACAACATTTGACCTCTGGGAATGTGTAATAATCTTCATTATACATAACAGCTATTTACTTACATCTACCTTTGTATATGATCTTGAAAAGATACTTGTGAAACTGTTCTGTTTTGTTTTAGTCTAAACTGAAGAAGAATTAATTTGAAACAGTGCTACAGATGAGCCAGACTCCAGAAGATAAAACAGGTGAGTGATAGGACAGTTTTGAGTTGAGTAGAAAGGAGATATGGCATAAATTGTGGCAATAAGGTGTTCTAAAGTGTTAGAAGAAAAACAATCAAATATTACCTTAACTGTTGGGATTTTTTCTGTTAGTATGAACAAAATATGTTGATATCTAATGAAATAAGGTACATAACATCTTTCCTGTACTTCTTTCACTCCAAACCCTATCTGAAACCAGGAGATGTCAGTGGGAGACTTTCCAAAATGTTAGAGATGTCTCAGGGGATGGTACATGAAACCCTTCATCTGGCAGAAACATAATAACTGGATTTTATGCTTATGATGAGGAGGTTAAGCCCTGAATCACGTGCTTTCACATACCCTTCCTAAGCTGCTTTTCAGCCTTCACTGTGTCAGTCCTGAGTGCTCTCGTTATCCATACAATACAAGTCCCTATTGAATGCTTGCTCAGTGCTTTGGTTCAGTAACAGCACTGAGGTTTACAGTCTATTTCTGTACTGCTCAAGAAAGGAGTGCCTTTTGATAGGGCCTTTGATCAATGGAATCTGAATCAGGATCTTTGAGTAAGATAAAATACATAAATCTGAAAAGTTGTGGAAGAGAAAAAAAAAAGGTGACTGATTGATGAACTAAGAAATCCTGTGAAATGTCACCAGTATAAAGTATAACTGTAGTACACCTGCATTTTATGGCTTCATTGAAAACCTGTTCTGAAAGCGCAGTTTTCTTCCAGGCCATGAGAACCTACTGGTTAGCAAATTATAATGTGCTAAATTTAGGAAATAACTGTCCAAGTGGTGAACCTTCTGCGTTCTACATTCTCCTCTTTAAGAAAAGAGGAACATCCAAATCTTTCTGTGAAATGTTTCAGTGTTCTGGTGTCCTACTCTAGGCTCTGGGCAGTTGTTAGCTTCATCATGGGCAGCTCTTAGCAGTGGCACCTAACTCACTTTTGCAAACATACCTTCTGTAGGAACAATGCTTAAACACTCAAACAGTGGTTCTGGGCTTTTTTTTTTTTCCCCCAGCAATTAAACTGGTACAAATTCTTCTCTAGTGTAGCTGTCTTCCTATCAATGAACAATGTCTGAGCGCAGCTGCTCTGATTATTTTTTTTCTACAGCATAGTACAAATTTTGAATTCCATTGCTTTGCAGTCAATCACTAAAAAAACCATAAAAAAACCAAAACCCATAAAAATTGGCTCTGGATCTCCCGCAAGACTAGTGAACAAAACAAACAGAACTCTCCAGGCCAAGGCATATCTAAGAAATGGTTTTGCATAAAATGAGCTAAATATATATATAAACAATGGGTAAAAGTTTCTTGTCTTCTCCTCCTTACCAGGTACTGATATAAGAAGTACTAACTCAGCTTCAAACTTCCTCTCCCTACCTTCCTCAATTACTCGCTGAGGAATCAAAACCAACCAAGTCAGAAAGAGGTAAATATTGCTGTTCTTTTTTTGTGTGTGTTACAGCTGTATTTAGATGCCTAAGCCAAGAAATTTGGGCTAAATATGCTAACATGTGCTGCCACTATACGGAATAAAGCTCTACAAATATAATTGGTTTCTGGTTTTGTTGTTGTTGTTGTTGTTGTTGGTTTTTGTTTTGTTTTGTTTGCTTGTTTCTGGTTTGGATTTTTTTTGGTTGGTTGGTGATTGGGGTTTTTTTTTCTGATGTGGGATGCTAAACAATTAAAAAAGTGTTCAATCCAAGTTAACCTGAAATGAGAATTTTACAATTTTCCCAGAAGGAAAATGGAGATATGATATTTTTAAAAATTGAATAAAACTTTTCTTAATATTTTCTAAAACAGAAGGCATTATTTTCTTCTCTCCAGATGACATTTCTGTAGGGTCCTTCCAGGACCAGTAGCTTATCTCTAATCCACTGAGTGAGGATATGCTCTCTGTTGCTTATAGTGGTTCACACAAAAATACAGGATTTTTGAGAAACCAGCAGCCATTAGCTTCTGGGACAGGGAGGGGCAGGAAGCATGACCAGACCCTTTCCCCACATGAGGCAGTGTATCACTTAAGTTTGGCTCATACTGTCTTCCTCCAGCCTGGCTCACTTTTCATTAAAGCTGTTGGCTCCCACTGACCTTTTGACTGTGTGCTGACACTGCATCACAGACCAGAGTGAGGAAGAGCAGGGCTGGCTGCCCATGACAAGCTGCTCGGAGAGTAGGAAATTTAGGTGCCCTGGGAGACAGCCAGAATGATTTTCATCTGCCCCGTCACCAGGGACGAAAGTAGTTTATTTGTGTGATTGCAGACCACTGGAGTGAGGGGCACTATTAGTCTGTGCATGTAGTTCCCCTCATTCCCTAGATGAGGACCTGGAAAGGGCCTGTAATACAGCTCTGGCTGCAGCAGCATGAACACCAACAGGCTGCAGACAAGCTTGCTGACAAGCTGTGAAAAGCTGAAAAGGTCTTTGACTCGAATGAGACCCTGGCTGGACAGGAGCATGAGCTGGATGTGTTGGATCTTGTAACATCACATTAGTGACTTGTTGTAGTGAGGTGAGTGGGTGAATTGACAATGAAGTTGGCCTCTAAAATTCTGAAGTGCATTTTCTGGACTCTCCTAAGGGAGTACAGCATGTTTATTCTGCTCTCTGCATGTTCTCTGTTCTCTGCGCTGAGATGCAGTGATTTCCTCCTTGGCTGTGTTCCTGTTGTATGTAGAGCCTGACTATTTTTGCAAGAAGTGCTAAAGGGTCTTGTTTGGGGTGACTGTGAAAGGTGAGTGGCACAGCCCATGTACCAGTGTTCCTTTCCTGGTGGAAATGAAGTGTGAGTACAGTGAGTGTGTGAGCTGAACTGGGGGCAATGTCATGGTCTGTACTGCTCCTGGTCTGTACTGCTCATATTTAATAACACAAGTTTGTACTTGAGTATACCTCCTAAAAGCACTATGGACACAGCCTTGGATGACAATTAGCTTTACACTGCTAGCTCTGTCCTTTAAATTGTGCAAGCACCTTTTTACTTTTGGAAACCTGAAGCAGATATGAGACAAATAGAAAAGCAAAAAACCTACTCTCTGTTTCAAAACAGCTTGAATCTGTGAGGTTTAAGATTCTTGATAAATGGGAAAAAATTAACATACTGAGACTGGGAAGAAAGAAACAATAGTTTATGCTGTGACAGTGCATGTAATGGAAACCACTCTAAACTAATACAGGTAAAAAATCATTAATTCTAAACATGTCCTAATAAGGTTTCTTAAGAAGTAGTGGTGTCCAGGTACTACCATGAAGGATGTTTTAGCACTGAGAAATTAACCCTTAGTGGTCTTTATTTTATCCTCTGAGAACACAATATGTGCCTAGTTTGGGTGCTTCTATGTTCACCGTAGTGTTCAGCCTCCGTTCCTGCAGTAAGAGGCTTGTAGGCTGACCCTCACTATGTGAGATGATGATCTACAGACATAGGGGTTATTTCTGTATTCATGCTACAAGTCTGGGAGTTTGTAAGCAACTATACATTTAACAGCAGTATCATTAGTTTGAACATGTTTGTTTCTTGGCCTGGAGAAACAGAAATGTTCTGGGTGGGATTTTTAAGTGTTCCAAGTTGGCCTCATCTACCCTTGAAATGAGTGCTGAAATGCCTAGTAACTTCAAAGGGGGAGAGATAGGACAGTCCTGATTCCCTTTGAAATCTCCTTTCTTAACATTACTGCAGATTATTCACTGGCATATATAATGACCATAGCTGTGAACATGTGTCAGTCACAGACAGGAAGGTCAAGTTTAAGTCCAGATTGAATAAAAAGTCTGTGATGGATTCTTGATACCAGCTAATTGTTTTTTAATAAAAGGACAAATATTAACATGAATACTTGTTTACAGAATATGTTTGGTTTTTGTTGGTTTTGTTTTTGTTTTTTTTTAATTCACTAGGCTCCATCATTATTGGTTGAGCTCTAGTCATTGGTATTGTAAAAAGGAAACAGTGGGATATAGGCTTGTATTGAATACTGCGCAGTCCAAGGTACAGAACTTGCAGAGATTTTTTTTTATTCACTAAAATTTGAATACTGAGAGTGGTGTGTGTGAGGACCACTTGAACTATAAAAGCTAGATGCTTGCAAATTTCTGCAGGATTAGTGCATTCAGCATTTGCAAACAGTATTCCTTTTCCACTGGCTGTTGTGCAGTTAGAAATAGCACAAGATTTCAATAAAGGCACTTTAACATGTCCTTGTCACTGGTTACACTGATAAGTGTTCCAGCAGTGTGAAGTGAGGAGGTAATTCCATGCAGCTAAAAGTACAATCAGCATGAGTAGGGCATAATGTGTCACTCTTAATGGTGGGCAAACAGCAGTTGTTCATGTAAGTCTTATGTTTGACTAAGCATCTGAAAGGTCAAACATTTCTCCAAATTTTCTGTCCTCTAAATCAGTTATATCTATCGACAGAACCTTAATTAATTATACTGAGCATAAAACAGAACTGCCAAAAAGTCACAGGAAAGCTGAAAAAGCCTGTGAAAAACAGGTACAGCCATTGTGTTCTTGTACTATGTTGTCTGTCTTTAAATTTATTGACATATTTAAAATAATTATTTTTCTTACTAAATTTTTAAACCAACTTTATGCACTGCTACCTAAGATTCAAGACAGAAATCTTTCCTTTGTTTCTAAAGCAATTAGCAGGCCTCCAGCATCAGAGAGCTTTGGGGAAGAAGGAGAACTCTTGGTTTATTTAGACAGATTTACTCTATATCAATATATTAAAACAATGAACATCAGCGATTAATAATGAAAATTACTTTTTGTCCTGGCAAACAGGAGATCTTAGACTCCATGTGCCTTATGAAACGTTCCTGTGTACGCTAAGATATTCAGACTCGTGGTATGATAACCAATGAGTATATGAAATCTGGTCCTCTGAAAAAATAGCCACTCTGAGAATTTCCTCTCTTTGCTTTTTTAAACAAATATGAATATTCAGAAGGTCTTTAAATATAAATTGCTTGTTTCCAGAGTGGTTTTGGGACGGGTGGAGGGGGGCAGGGCTGGGCTTTTTCCGTACTGTAATGAAAAAGGATAGTCAGCAGATGGCAATGTTGCATAGTTGTTCCAACAGCAGACAGCCACATCAGCAAGGGAGGGAAACCTCTGATACTCCTTAAGCAGCCATAAGGGAAAATGTAGTGGCCCCTGCAGGCCACTGGAGAGTTGGTCATTCAGGTATACTTTGGCTGAATGCTAATGTAGGCTTACTGCGTTTGCAATACACTTTGTAACAGCAATTTAACACTGAAAACCCCTCATTTGAAAGGGCAAGACCATTATAATTTAAGAGCAATCTAATTAAACTAGTGCATTTCCATATTCTTTTAAAAACATGATTTCATGATGCCGCATAAGGACAATGTGTTCTTTCCCATACAGATTGCATATTTAAAAAGATAAGTGAGTCTGATGCATTTTCTTTTGCTGGAATGCTGTGTGACAATTTACCTGATCTGTTCCTGACTTTTAAGACTCAAACTATGAAAATCAACTCAAGAAACACGTTTCTCCAAGGCCAAATAAAAGTTATTTCCTTATAACTCAGTGTGGTTAAGGTGAAACGCAAACTAGTTTATACATGAGTTACTGTCACTAGGTCTAGTCCCAAAGGACTGGAAAGGTTTTGTGGCTCCAACAAGTTCCAGGTTAGGCCCACTGTGTTTTGCCAGCTAGAAAGTAGAAAGGTACCAGATATAATTCCACTTCTCTCTTTTTTTTTTTTTTTAAATTACTGTGGAGAGCTATTGCATTACTTTGATCTAAATATGTAAATCAAAGCTACAAAAGCTTTCTGCTTCCAGCTGTACTGAAGGCATGGGAATGAGGTAAAAGAACCTATGGTAGATAACCCCAGCATATAAAATCCATGGAATAGCTCAGCTAGAGGAACTTGGAAAGGCTTCTGTAAAATATAGGAACAAACAGATGTCTTGAGAGAAGTGAGTAATAGTTTGAATAAAACAATTTTAGGTTCAGCTGATATCCTGCTTCACACTCTGAAGTCTGAAGCTCTGTGTTAGTAACCAAAAAAACAGGCATCACTTGAGATGTTAGTGAAATATGAAGCACTAAGCTCTTTGCATCAGGGTTTTGTCTAGCAGTTCAGTCTAAAATCTAGAAATGGACATGGATGCTGAAAGACCAAATCAAGCCATTTGTATCACAGTAACTGCTTTAGCAAAAATGATGCTATGAACACCCTTGCTTGTTTACACAGTAAGCCCTGGCTTTACTGTCTGTTTGTTTTCCCTCAAGGTAAAAAGAACTGGCAAGAAGAAAGGCTCTATGTCAGACTCAAAGACGTATGTAACTTGAGATGTAGCGCTAAATTAAAACTCCTGTCACACAGAGACTACTTACTATAATTTATGTCAAGGTTAATGGAGTAAAAAGTATTGGAGTATTTTAAATGCTAATCAGACACATTGCCAATTAGTATCACTGCAATTTTTTTCTTATATACTGAAGGATATTTCAATGTTTCTCAACATTTATGTCTTTTTTACAGGAAGCTGAAGGAAATATCACAGAAATTTTAGATGAACTGAAATTCACTCAGGAAAATCAAAGGGGAGTATGAAATGTTCAAATATCTATGTCAGTGTGGTTGCATAGAAAGTGTTGGAGTGATGGAAATGCCAGTCATAACAACTTGCTGGGCCAATGTAAGACAAATTAGTTACTAATAGCAGCTGCATTCAAGTGCTGGTTGCAGAACACACACAGTAGCAGCTGGGAGTCATAATCAGATATTATAGATTTGACTTCAATGTGGCTCAGATTACTACAGAATAAAAATTATGCATAACGTGTGATTAAAAACTTTAATTGCTTCAGTTTCTTTATTAATAGAATCACAGAATAGGCAAATAGAGGCTATCTCTACTTATTCATCCACTGTCAAGATCATGAAATGCACATGCTCAGATAGGTGTATATTTCAGCATATTTGGCACAACTTCAGACTAGTTGTGAGTTTGTAGTGCTGTTCAGAGGTTTGTTTTCCTTACGAGCAAATGTCAGCCAGAATTAAGGCTCTGTATGAGTTGAAAAATATACCTAACAGAAGGTACCTCTTTACTCATGTGCCCTTGCCCATGAGCATTTTTGTATCTACAGTTTATCAGTATAAGAAATCACTGCATCCAGGAGAATCAGGAAGTGGCAAGCTTGTGGCTTTATAAACCTACCCTGATAAGACCTAAAATCCAATCAAGCTATCATACAAGTTGTCATGCAAGATCAACTGTTGGACCCAGGGTGTCATCTTGGTGTTAATTATGCTAAAACCATCCTGGTTCACCAGACTTTGAATACACGCCCTACTTTTTGAAATCTGATTTGACAGGTAAGCTGACAGCTGGCCTGTAAATGTGTGACTAGCAGTCAATCACTTAATACTATAAAAGCCCATTTCCCTTTCATGGAGTCAGGTTCTTCTGATATAACCCTTCTTGGAGTGTATGTGTGGAGATCCCTCCCTTGGGCTGGGGATGTCCCTGAAGGTTACTCCTTGAAGTTGAGAGAAAGAGATCTCCCCACGAGCATTGGCATGGGTGAGTTATGTCAGATCTCTACTTAATAATTATTTCTTTTTGCTAGCTTTAAAATAACTGCTTCAATAATTGCTTTGTTACAGTGCACTATACTACTTTATGCTATATTATACTCCACTAGTAGATTTTTAGCATTTATGTTGTGTCATAAATAGTTCTGATTAAGACCTTTTATCTTTTGTCAGACCATTTGTAATACTAAACTATTAATCTTATATAAATATCCTCATTTTGCCAATTATTAAAACCTGCAGTACAAAAGTGGTCCAATCACACCTCTATAATTCCTTAAATTTAAACCACTGGCATAATCCAAGGTTAGGATTGGATTCAGCTGCACCTAGACTCCTCTCTGAGAATGGGTTTAGAAAGCAAGGGAATCCTTTCTGCACCTTGTGACTCAATGGCAGGGCTTTTTTTTTCAATTTTGTCTAAACCTTCCACTCCCACCCACAACAAAGCTGCAGAAAGTTTAATTCTTTAGTTTGCTGCATGCCTAATTTGTTAGTTTATATTTGCATGTGTCATGCAAATGGTTAAATCTATCAGTTGGAGGTGGCTGTCACAGGGTAGTAAAAGGCCTGAGGACTCACAGAAAGTCTTACTGACCTTAGTGAATTTTAGGCCAGTCTTTTATATTTTCAAACATTAGGGGGACATTATGGAGTTGTCTCCTCTTGTTATAAGACAACTCTAAGAGAAAGGTGTCTCAAATTGAGATGGCAGGTGGTGTTTTGTGCTATAGGATCCCAAAAAGTCACTGTATGTTCCTGTTGTGTCTGTGGCCCATACACTTCCATGTACACTTATGAGATTGTTAGTAGAAATCCAAAATTATACTTATGGACTCCAAAGAACAAGATCCACTAATATAGAAAAGAACAACTCTATTTTCATCTTATTGCCAACACTTTGTGTCAAAGGCGATACGTTTTATTTGCTAACATAGGCAAAAATTTTTACTTTCAAATTGTATTAGAAAAGTAAGTAAGAAATTTTTTTTCAAAGAAAGCTTGAGTCTTAACAAAAAAGAATCCTGAATTCATATCTTATGAAACATAAGTATTTCCAATTAATTTTGTAGTTAAAAATAGATTAATAATTCTAATAGTGTACGAAATCTTAAAATTAAGGTTAAGCTTCAGTTAATTTACTGTTTCTGGCTCTTTATTTGAGAATTGCCAACTTTAGAGTTCACAAGATGATACGTACAGTTGCGGTACACTTTTGTTGTTGGAGGGTGGCAGTGCAAGCAGCTCTCAGTTCAGGAGCTGCTACCCAATGATCTAAGACCACTAATACATGATAATTTCATGAATGTGGAAAGTAACCCACGTTATGATATGAAGTTACTGTATATTATGTTGTTACAGTTCCCTGGATGGATGCATTCATTAAGCTTAATGAGGGGGATGGAATGAATTGAAAGAGAACAGTAAAGCAAAAAATGGAATCCAAGTAGTCTCCCCACAAACAGCATGGAGAACACACATCTAGCCTCCTTAAATTTACAAAATTTGCTTTTCCAAAGCTGGGCGCCAGTAGATCTAGAAATTTATAGATAATTACAAAATTATGTGCAAAATTAATAAAAGTTTTTTGATTAGTCATAGTTACATTCCCTTCAGGAGCTGAACATAAGTCAGGGTAGCTGAGGTGCTAAGGACAACATAAAGAACCTCTATGAATAGAAGAGTCCTTTGCTCTTTCCCTTCAAAACATATGGATGAATCATGGTCTAAGAACATGCACAACAGGAAAGGGTGATACAACATGATCATACTTGCATCTGCTTATACATTACAGAACTGTATGTTTTGTACTTCTTTGATTTTGAATTGAGAGTTGCATGACCTGCAGGTCAGCTATGGGATTTACTGGATAAAATTCAGTGTCATTTGACAGACTAAACTGGGAAAAAAACTAAGCACAGTTATGTCTGAGAGGATAATAGTATATATATTTTTTTTTCTTTAAAATTAAAATTTGGGAACATTATACACATGGAATATATGGTCAGCCATAAGGCTATTAGAAATAAAACATCAAGGTAATTAGTGGTAGATATAGTTGAATACAAGGTTAATTAGTCTCATTTGTATGATGTTAATTATTAAAAGTAATCAGCCCTAGGATACTTACAGAACCACTCTCACTAAATGTTCTAAAAAAGATAGCAGAAAGACTTTTACATTTTGCTTCAAGCAGAGCTTATGTATAAACCTTTTAAAGTAGCACACTGTCTTGGGATATTTGCATAATAAGATGCTTTATAAAACGGAAGCCCAAAATTCTATTTTCCCCCCAATGTTAGGAATCACATTTCTAGAACTGACATATTCTCTTTCTGCAGGACAGATCAGGAAGACTGAAACATTAAGAATAGCATGAGATTTCTGAATCAAAGCCTGTCTTGAGGCATAATTAACAGAAGGCATCTAATTATCTGAAATCAAAACTGTATCATCCTTAGCCCTTAATTCACATAAGATAACTTAGATGACATTTAATTAGAGGCAAAGCATGGATTAATACTTATTTAATAGCTTTGGTAGAAGCTTCCCTTAGGTGTTAGGAGATTGTCCAGTGAATTGGGGTGAATATTTAGCCTGTGCCTGCAGCTAAATAAATAATTTGAAGCAAACAATTTACTTAGCCAAGTTTCTAATGTTTCTGCAGTAGGAATGTGATTTCTTCAGATTTAAGAGCTATCTGATGGAAACCTTTCTAATTCTCATTTGAGAAATTACCTGTAAATGGATGCATTAAGTCATATTTATTTTTCTGGTTAAAGGGTTGTGTTCACAGCTCTTGTGGAAGTAGTGGAATTTCTTTTGGACTTAGGTTACCATTCTTAATTGAATTAGCTAGCTCTCTCAGTATTTTGTAGAAGCATTTGTTGTCAAGTCTTAACTCCTCTATTTGATCGATGCCTAAGTCATTGTACAAAAGGAAGGCATCAGGAAAGCAAGCTCTGCTATGTAAATAATGATCTACACTCTGCATTATGGGCAAGTGCCATGGATAAAAACCATTTTTACTTTCAGTGCATACCAGATGTAGAAAAGATCTCTCTTAGTCTCTGTTCTTTAGAATTCTTTCAAGAGTTGCTACACCTGGTTGAGAAGAACAGACAGGTGGATGGGAATTTTTGCTAGATCCATTCCAACAAATTTCAGTTATCTAACAAGATCTTAGGAAGGTTGAACCATCCTCTGGAGACTACAAACACCCTCAAGTGCCTGAAATTCGGTGAGTTGATCTTAGTTCCTTTTGTATGGCTCACAGCTGGAAGACTCCTCAGTGCTGCCTGTGTTTACTCTGGGGTATGGATTGTCACTGACTTAGATCTCAGTTTCTGTTCAGTGTTTGTGTTGGTTGCATACTATACTTTTTAGGAAGATGTGGGATCTAATAGAAGGAGTTTTGTTACCTGAAAAGGAAAATGAATTTCTGGAAGTCCAAAAGAAAATAAGTAAAGAAAGATAAATACCACTTCAAACGTACTCCTAACATCTCAAGGTTTTTTAAGTGGAATCCAGGCTTGAAAAACTGCTGTTGAACCTCAGAATCCAGTATTACAATGCTATGTCAAAATCAGAAATTTGTTTTCATTTTTACATACAGTAATGTGGATAGTTATACTGTCATACTGTCTGTATAAAAAGATATTATCATATAAAATTTTTAAAAATGTCTCGTTCTAACAATTTCTCTAATAAATGGCTGTATTCTTCCAAAGAGTTTTCAGCAGACACTGTCTTCTTTCCATCATGGCTCTTAATTCTGGCTCTTTTATTTTATGAAATCATACTATGTATTCAGAGTTTCTTTGAAATCATGAGATGGGTTCAGATGAAGTGGAAACATGTGCTTGATTTTTGCAGAAAGCCTGAAAAAATCAGGTCAAAGAAAAGATATAGTCCTGCCAACTAGAAAAGGTGTTGTTTAATACCCATAAGAACCCTCAAAGAGCTAGCTGATGTCATCTTCTCTTGATGATTTTCAAGTAGTCCTGGAAATCCAGACAGTTCTTGGCTGACTGGAAGCTTATCAAACCTGAT